TTATTTGGTGATAGAGATAGTTTAGAATGAGAAGTAAAAAGGCCTAAAAAAGTAAGTAATATTATGGTAAGTAGAAATAAATTAAAAAATCTGAATGTTAATCCTTTGTCAGTGGCGAAGTATTTTTGAAGTAAGGGTGTAGAAATCCCACCAATTAATCAGAGATTAATTTACTTTACTTACTTGGAAACCCTAAAAGATGGCTATTTACTTTTTGCCGAAGAATGGCAGGCTTGACCGAATGGACCAGTAGTGAAATCGGTAGTTGATAAAATGTTTGACAATCTTGACAATCTTGGAAAATTTTTTGTTAAGATAGAAGATTTAAGCAATGAATTAGTGCTAAATTATGCCGATAAAATTTTCAAAAAATACCGCAATACGGAGCAATATCTTATCTTTGAAAAAGCCCAAAATAGGCCGTGAAAAGATGCTCGAAAACCTTTGGCTTCGGAACGAGAACTTGCCAATATTGATTTAACTAACTTAATCAAATTTACTAATGGCAAAAGAGTTAGTGCCAATTAGTCTATGATTATTGTTTTTGATAAATTACTTACGGAGTGTATTCATGATCCAATTTTACATAATCGATTAAGAGGAGATAAACTCCGTTCTTTTTTCTCTTGATTGATTCAGTCGTTTGGAGAATATAATGAATTAACCTTTAAAGAAATTGACCAACGACGGAACTGTCATTTTGTTAATTTTAAAATTCAACAAAAAATTACGCAATTCTTTAAAAAGTATGCTAAAAAAAGTGAGGTTAAAGTATTTGTTTTAGAGGCTAATCTTTACCAATTATCTATCCCCAACACGGAAATCCGTTTAATTGGCGACTTAAAACGCAACTACTTCCATGCCAAACAAAAATCCTACAATGATTTATTTTCAGTTCTTTTCATTGACTTCGACCATTCTTTACATAAAAATATTGGTAAATTAAGAGCCAAACAAGCGGATTTAATCTGTATAATGGCTCAAAAAAATTGTCCTAATTACTAACTTTTAAATCATCTAACAAATTTTTTCTAATTCTCCAAAAACTTTCTTAAAAGGCTATTCAAAAAAAACACCCCCTTTTTTTGCTTATAAAGATTTTTATTCCCATTCATTATAATAATCTCTATAAGAAAAAACCCCGCGTCGCTCGCTAACTAAAACATATAAAAAGAAAATATAGCATTGTTATCTGCCCGGTTTCGGAAAAATAATTCAGTCTCACTCAGAAAAATATTGAAGGCTCTCCTAAAAATTAGCAACCTTCCAGCTCTCCCTTTTAAAGGCAACTGTAAATAAATATTACTTCTGAACTTCTTGCCCTGTATAGGAAATTAATATTATAATAAGATAAAAATATGAAATTCCAAGAAAACAAATTAACTTATCTGGCTTTTGGTATTGTAGCAGGTTTGGTTGTGGCTTACGCTTATCAGAATTGAATGAAAAAAGATTAGATTATGTTGAAAAAACCCATTAAAAAAAGTTCAAGCAATCAATCTCAAATTAAGCAGGCTTACGAATTAGTGACCAAGGACTTATTGGCTAATCTAAAAAAAGCCAAAGATGGAGCAATTATCAAAATAGGTGAAGTAGGAACTTTTCAGAAGAAGATATCACGAGTTAGAAATACTTATGGTGTTTACCGCTATTATCGGATTAATTTCCAGGCTTCGAAGGTTCTAAAAAAAGAATTAGATGAGTAATGGAAAGTTTAAAAAACTTCTAATTTGCTTTTAAACTTGATAAAAACAAATGGATAAAAAAGCATTACTATTAGTAGTCGCCGCCTTGTGTGTCGGTCTTTATTTTTACGGACAATATATTAGTAAAGATAATGAGTATCTAAAATATCTACCCGCCATTGGTGGGGGAGCCTATGCCTTGAATTTTATTGTTAATTTAGCAACTTAATAACTCGCTCATGAATAATCAGAACTGAAATAATAATCAACAAACTGAAAATGGCGGCTTTGATAATTTAAATCAAAATCATCAACAGTCTAAACCTGAACCTTCGGGTCTCATGAAAATGGTCGGACAATCCCTTCCTTTTTTGCCCTTATTATTCGAACAATTTACGGGCCAAAAAATCCCGCAAATGGGTGGAACCATGTTTGAAATCCAAATGACTTTACAGCAGATATTAGCCAATCAACAAGCCCTTAATCAGAGATTATTAAGTTTAGAAAATAATGCCGTCCAACAATTCACTGCTTTAAATCAACAAGTCCAAAGCATTAAGTCCGTCCGTTTAACTCATCAAAAGGAAACCAAAGCCATTGATTATAGTTTGCAATCAGAACAGCAATAATTATGTCCTTTTTTCCTGATATCACGCCTTTAATTAATGAAGTCAAAGAAAATAATAAAAATCAGCACAAAATTATCGCCTTGTTAGAAGAACAAAATGAATTATTAAAACAAAATTTATCAAAATAATATGGCAATCAAAGAAGAAGAGGAAACTCAACAATACAGTAACAAACGCAGCATACTCATTCGGGAAGACCTCGAATATTCCGCCCAAAAAATATTTACTTATTCTGCTATTGGTTTAACCGCTATTGGCATTTATGTCTATGTTGCTTACTTGTTTATCCAACAAGCAAAAAAATAACAAAATAATAATTTATGACTAAAAATAACGAAAATTTAGAAAATCAAAACTCTTGAATGGCCTGAGCCACGGGTAAATTAGCCATGTTCGCTATCGGATTAGCCGCTGGTTACTTTCTTTACCAAACAGGAATGTTACAAAAACTAACTGGTAAAATATTCAGCAAAAAGCCAAAAAAATCCAACGAGGAGGAACAAAGCAGTTATTAAACTTTTTACTCCTTTTTAATTTTCTGCCCTTATGAACGCAAGCAATACTTCCAACCTTAAAGATGTAATTACCAGCACCCTCCAAGAAATCTTAGCCGAAGACCCCAATTTTTTCTTTACTGACCGCTTAAATATTCTGACTTGAAAAAGTAAGAAAATAAATGGAGCCTTGATTACCAAAGTCGGTCAGAAAAGATATTTGGGCCTACCAAGGAAAGATATTAAAGGTCAAGAATATTGAAAATATAAGCCTTTGGGAAATTCTAATTCTGAATCAGCCCCATCAGAAAGCAGCCTTAATCAATCGGAATTAGACCCCGTGGCCAAATTTCAGCAAAGACAAGCCCGAACGGAACAATTAAATAATTATGGAAATCCAGTCATTAACAACTCCGCATCTGGCTAATATAGTGAAAGATTTATCAACTCTGGCTCCGCAAAATTCCGAGACCACTCAAATTATCACTTACACCCTAATTGCTACGGCAGTAGTAGGAATATTTGTTTATCATTACATTAAAAGTTCAGAGAACGGCGAACCAATTCGCATTAATCTGAATTTAATTGCAACTAATTAATTATGGCACTAAAAGATTATTTACCTGATTTCAAAGGAGCCTTAAAAGGTTTTTATGAGGAAAATTTGAAAGAAACCATTGAGACTAAAACTGCTTACTATGAGAACTTACTAAAAGAAAATATTACTTTTAGTCAGAATACTCAAAAAATAGCCATTGCCTTAGGAGTAGGAATATTCTTGTTATTAGCCCTGGCTTATTTTTGAAAAGATGAATAAAAAAATAAAAGACTGCCAATTCTTCTGAGTAGCAGAGATTACTTGTTCCCAGAAAGAAATTGGTGAACCAAATTATAAAAACGAAAAGAAATAATATGACCATCAATTACAAATATATCGCCTTGGGAATATTGGTTAGTTATCTAGGACTTTATGTCTATAATTTAACCCAAATGCCCCAGGAAAGCAAAAGTAAATAATATGTCCCAAAAATCATCTATTTTTAGCCTTAAATATGTCATCCTTTTCTCAACTTGTTTTATTTTCGGCTGTTATCTCCGTCATTGGATAAATACTGGCAGTGGACAATTTAAGAGATTTGGAGAATTTTTTTAATATGGCAGGAACTATTTTAAGTATGTTATTAGCCGTTTTATGTGGCTTTTTGGCCCAACAGTCGGTCGAAACTTTAATTAATACTTCATTAACACTATTGCCTTTTAATATCCGCACTACTTCTTAGCCTCGTAGAGAAAAAGAAACTTAAAAATTATGAGACACGCTGGCAAAGTGATAGGCAAGAGAGCCACGAGGCTCTTAACCGAATACAACTCTCGTTATTTTGGAGATAAATTACAGCAAAAATTAAAAGATAAAAATATGCTAAACACTAATTTAAATAATTCAAATCCAACTCCTTTATTTCAATATCCCCAACAAAATTACACTTGTGATAAATGTGGTGGGGAATTTCAAAAAACTATCACCTATTCTCCCGCTCAAAATAAGCAGGAATTAGGCAAGCAACCGACTTACTGTTCTAACTGTGCCGAACCTAATTTATTGGTTCCCGTTAAAATTCAAAGGAGCAAAAAAGTTAAAATCAAGAGAAATCCCGTGGCTTATTATCAGTGTATGTCGGCCTGTTGTCAACAAGGGATTAGTCCTAAAAGAATTACTCAAATAGCCCATGAATGTAAACATAATAGTGCCGGTCTTTTGAGTGAGCGAACTAACGAAATTAGAAAGTTGAATGAGGCTTATCAGCAAATTGGGATTTGTTTGACTAATTTGTTGCAACCGATTAAGGAAGAATAAGATGATTACTTGCTGTGAAATTGCCCTGGTTTTAGGGATTACTAATGTTATCAGTTTAGCCATTTTTGCGGGATATACCATAGTAATTCGTCAGAGGCAAATTGTTTTAGAGAAAAAGAATGGTAAAGAGCAAAAGCAAATTGATGAGTTGAAGAAGGAGGTTGAATTGTTAAAACGGGGGGATAAAAACTAGATTCTAATTCATTCAATTATTTTCATCGTTCATATATGGTTCCTAGTTATCCTTTCTCCCCTTAAAAATTTATGAATAAATGCCTACTTTGCCAAAAGAGAAAATCAATGCCTAATTCTAATATCTGCTGATGATGCCAATTAACGCAATTGCCTAGGAACTAATATGACTAAACAAGATTTACAAAAGGAATTAAAAGAGAAAGTGAAGGAAGGAGTAAAGCCCAGTGATATTCGGAAATTAAAACGATCGAAATCTCTGGGTGATATTCCCACTAATCCGCCCCAAGAGAAAATCTTTTATGAAGCCTCCGAAGACAACCCTGCTGAACTAAAAGCCAGAATCAGTGAACTAGAAGACCAAATTCTCCAATTGCGAATTAGCAAACTCAAAGACTTCTCGGATTACTGGGAAAAAAATAAAGAACTGAAAAAAGATTTAGAAAGCAATATTGATTACGGAATACAAGAAATTGAAAGATTGGAAAACAAACTCCGCACGATTAATAAAAAACGCTTAGAACTTCAAGACCAATTAAGTCAAAGTCAAAGTAAAAATGCTAAATTAGAAATAAAATTGATAAATGCTGAGAATAAGGAAGCCCAAACCGCTACTCCTCATTCTGATTTTTGAATTGATTACGGGCCAATTATCCTGCTCTTCACTCTTTATGCTTTATCAATTTGATTAACAAATAAAAACCCCAATAACAACCAATAATTATGACTTACAATCTAGATTTAGGAGTTAAATCCGCCGTTAGAAACTGACTAGAAAATAAATGAGAAAACTGAGTAAAAAGACCTATTGCTACCCGCACCGAACAAATGGAAAATCAAGTTTCTCAAAAATTAAATGAGTATGGTGGCAAAGCCCAAGCCCAGATTAACAAACCTTTTGACTATTATCGGAAGCAAGAATCCTTTTATCGGGGATTATTTTGGATTGGGGTTGGTTTATTGATTGTGTTGTGAATTTTAAGTGGAAGTTAGAAAATATTTTCATCTATGACCAAAGAAGTAATAATTTTATCCCTAATAATTTTGGCAATCTATCTCTATTATCAGCAAAATCATCCGTCCATTGATAAAAGAAGTTATGATAATTTAATCCAAGATTTAAAAAGACAAGTCCAACATTATCAAGGACTTTATGAGAAAAGGGTGGAGAAGGATTTGGATAAAAAAGATGGGGGAACCCAAACTGATTTATCGGACCGACAGGTGAATAATTTAATAGGTCAGTGGAATGAAGTAGCAGAGTGAGCCACAAGTGAAGGAATTGATATTAATCAGAAGTGGAATTTAGGGATGTTGAAGGGGAAATTGGAGGGAGAAAATAAAAAGTTAAATAAGCAAATTGAAGGATTAACCCTGTTAGCCAATAAAAGAAAACAAGATTTAGAAAGAGAAAAACAAGCCCTTATTGATTTAGCCAAACAAAAAATAGCCAATAAAAAAGAGGCTGCTGAGTTATTAAAGAATTTAGAAGAAAAGTGAAAAAAGGAGAAAGAGGAATGACAATTGGATTATCAACTTCGAGGGCAGGAATTAGAAGGGGCTTTTGATCTTATTAAGCATCAAAAAGAAGCATTAAAAGAATTTAAGGAAAGATTAGCCCTTAAAAATAATTGAGGAGATGATAATCTTCCCCAACTTAAACAAGAACTTTTTAACCAAGGACAAGAAACTTTTAATCAATTAAAAGAACAATTAAATAGAACTACTATTGCCTGAGGAAGAAAAGAAGTTAATGAAAAATTAGAGAAGTTGGAAGAGTTTTTTAAGCCAGAGAGAGAAAGAGAGCAAAAGTAGATAAATGCCCGGAGGATGAGGAGAAAAATAATTCAGATACTCCCGTTCTTTCTCGGAAAATGCGAAGGAAGTTGAGAAAGAAAGAGAAAGAAAAATAATACAAAACAGTAAAATTAACTATTATGAGAATTCTAAGTAAAAATCAGTTAAAAAATCGTCTTGTCCTAAATGCTAAAAAAAAACTAACCTCGCAAAAAGAAAAAAGATTACAAATGGTTATCAGTTTCCTTAATCAAAATAAAATAAATCCACGGAGCGGGCAATTGGTTAATCAAAAAGAATCCAGTGTTGATATCTGCACAGTTCAAGATTTAAGATAAAAATGGAGAAATTATTAGATTTTTTAATCAGCAAACTTTATCGCAAATATCGAGAGGAACTTTACAAAGATACTAATTATTTTCTCCAAGAAAATTTTATCCAAACCACCGATAATCCTCAAATTTGACTAGATGCTTTGGATGCCACTCTTAATCATCCTATTATTCGCTTTGGTGGTTTTGAATTTAGTCATGATTGATATGGTTTTACTAAGCATAATGTTGGTTTCAGATTAGAGGAATGAAAACTTTACGAACACATTATTTATCTTAATCGGCATTTTCTTCAAAATATGATGGGTTATCATACCGAGGAAAATGAAGATTTTGATTTTGCTACTTTTCTGAAAGCAGTGGCCGATGAAGTGGCTCATTGCTTAATTTTTGATTTATATCCGCAAGAGAGTGGTCATTCTCCTAAACAGAAAGCCATTGCCAAAGAATTAGAAAAATATTTAGCAAGTGATAAAGTGGTTAAGTTGTTGAGGAAGAATTGGAGAAAATAATTTAGTAAATTTTAGCCCTGCCCTGTTTTAGCCTTGTATAAGAAAAATCAACAAAAATACAAGTAAAAAATTATGGTTAACTGAAAACAAGCTATATTTGGATTGGCCGAAACTGCACTCGATATTGGTGCTAGTATGGTCCCAGGAGGAAGTTTAGCAAAAAAAGCAGCCAAAAAGGCTATAAAAGGAATATCCCGTGGAGTCGGTTTTACCAAAGACCTACTCAATACTGGTGAAATTACTATGGGAGAATTATCAGCCAATTTTGACGATAAATTAAGAAAGGGCCTGGACCAAGCCAAGGGAGATTTAGAGAACGAAAGTAAAAAACTCCAAGGAGCCATGGATGGCATGAAAACTGAATTAGAAGGTCAATTAAAACAGCAAGGCCAAAAATTCGACCAAGAAATCAAAGATATTAATAAAAGATTAGCCGCTGCCACCGGAGAGCAAAAAAAAGCCTTAGAAGAAGAAAAAAGGCAAAGGCAAGCCCAATTCCAGCAACTTCAAAGTCAAATTAACGAAGTCACTGAAAACTTAACCAGGGCACAAAATCAATTAAAAAAAGAATTAGACAATTTCCGTAATGAGGTAGATGAAAGATTTGCCGAACAAGAACAAAAAATCTTAGAAAACAAACGTAAAATTGAGGAAGAAAAACGCCAAAGAGAAGCCGAAATCCGGGAAGTCAAAGACAAAATAAATGTTGCCAACACCAAAATCAATAATCTCCAACAAGAAAAGGATGAATTACAAGACCATTTCAATCGTTATCAATTCCAAACTAATCAAAAATTATCTGAAACCCAAGCGGAATTAGAAAACGCCCAAGCAGAATTCCAATCTAAAATAAAACTCCAAGAAGCCAAATATCAAAATGACCTCCAAGAAAGCCAAGAAAACTTTGAGTCTCAAACCAAAATCTTAGAAGTCCAAATTAAAGATACTCGCGAGGCCTTGGAAGAACATGAGGAAGAATTATCCAACATTAAATACGAGCAAAAGAAATCAGCCCTAGAAAGAGAACAAATATTTGATGAATTGTCCGAAACTAACGATATTCTTCACTTCCAAAAACACAAACTAGACTTCGTGGCTAATCAGATGGAAGAAATTCACGAGGAGGTTCACGAGAGAATGGATAAATTGTCCCAAAAATTAGATGACCGAACTAAGGAAACTCTTAACATCGCTAAGGACACCAATAAAAAAGTTGATAAATTAACTGAGCAAGTCCAAAATATCCAAAATCAAACCGAACAACTTCAAGAACAAATCCAAAAAAACAAAGAAGAAACAGAAAAAGCCAAACAAGAGGCTAAATTAGCCAATGAACGATTAGACAATTATATTAAGTCTCAATCTTTAATGGATTTCTCGGCTCAACAAGCCAAAATAAATAAAATCCAAAAAACCCTCCAACTAAAAGCCGAAGAAACCAAATTATTAACTACTTTAAACTTCATTCGCGAAACCAAAAAAATAATTCCTTTG